CATACCTAAAAGTGAGTGGAGGTTTCTCGTCAGGGAGTGCTCTTGGCACAGGTTGTGGGGAGTTGTTCTTCTGTTCTCGTTTCAAAACGCTTCTCACTTCCTCGGCAGTCTCGTCCTCAAATGGCGACCTCACATGTTCAACCTGGTTGCCAATTGAGACTTCTGGTTTCAACTCTTTCTCTTCCTTTTCTGGCTGATTCTGATGTTGGAAATAGGGCAACAAATTAACATTATAAATTGGTTTTACATTCTATATGGTAGGTTTAACCCACTGATGAGTAAAATCGTCTGGCGTTAGACAGGTAAAAAAATAAGTAGGGTGCACTGGGTTAACTAGAGACATTGTCAGTTAAGCTGCAGACAATTGTGTAATTTGATCATATATGATCTCGCTTGACTTTCAAAGCTCATAAATCACTATAAAGTTAACATAGACTAAAACTATTGGAATTAGTAGAGAATTTTATACTGAATCGAATGGCGGTATTTTTATCTACGTAGCATGTACTGAACCGAAGATATGAACCTCCAAAATACTATGACAGCTTTGCAATAGTTTTCACAGGACCGGTGGTCGAAAAGGAGTTAAAGACTAGGGGTGCACCGGATTTGGAATTTTCAAATCCGGCCAGAACCGGATTTACCGGATTTGGACAAAAATTCCGGCCGGAATTGAGATAAACCGGTAATGGGGACAAATTGGGATAATTCAGTATTCAAAATGGTGGTTTATGTTTTTTACTATTTTTAGTTAGTGTCAGTTTAGATTTTTTACTGTGTTTAATTAAACCTTTTTTAAATATCTTCTTGTTAATAACTTAATATTTTATAATAATATTAAGTGTTCTTTACACTTTAAAGCTGCCAAATTGATGGTTTATCCCATTCTTGGTGAATATTTTAAGGTGAAAACAGAAATTTAAATCCGGCCGGATTTTCTCCAAATCCGGCCGGATGCCGGATACCGGAAAATTTATTAAATCTGGCCGGAATTCCGGCCGGATTTGAAATCCGGTGCACCCCTATTAAAGACTAAGTACACATTGAGTACTGAGTTTATTCTAGCGCAAGTACGCGGCAACAACCATTGGTGTACCAGTCAGGTACGACTAGAAATCTTGAATGATCGCACCCTGGAATATAATCGTAATCAATCAGTAAATTATCGTTCAGGTTATACATTTTATTATACAGATTAATATTTGTATTTTTTGTATTTTTAAACCCAGGCCTACAAATTAGTGCTCTTTATGATCAGACATGTGACAAATTTAGGCTGGTCAAATCTCCAATCTCACAAAATTGTTTATTTTAACA